TTTTATTGTTCTTTCACGTCGAATGAGCAATCTTTCGTTTAAATTCTTGCATTCTTAAAAATTCGAGAAAAAGAAAAAAAAGTGTATTTCAAAGAATATATAATTTCGTTTCATAAAAACCGATATCGTCCAAAATAATTTTTGAATTTGCCGCCATTTTTATTGTTCGTTCACGTCGAACGAGCAATCTTTCGTTTAAATTCTTGCATTCATAAAAATTCCAAAAAAAGAAAAAAAAGTATATTTCAAAGAATATATAATTTCGTTTCACAGAAACCGATATCGTCCAAAATAATTTTTGAATTTGCCGCCATTTTTATTGTTCGCTCACATCGAACGAGCAATCTTTCGTTTAAATTCTTATATTCTTAAAAATTCCAAAAAAAAAAAAAATTGTATTTCAAAGAATGTGCATTTCGTTTCAGAGAAACTGATATCGTCCAAAATAATTTTTGAATTTGCCGCCATTTTTATTATTCGCTCACGTCGAACGAGCAATCTTTCGTTTAAATTCTTGTATTCTTAAAAATTCGAGAAAAAGAAAAAAGTGTATTCTGAAGAATGCGTATTTTTCGTTTCATATATGGACATATCCTTTCACGATATCATCCAAAATAATTTTTGAATTTGCCATTTTTATCGTTCGCTCACGTGGAAAAGAAAAGTGTATTCCAAAGAATGTAGAAAATTTTTCCTATACGTTCGAAAATATCGAAACGAAACTCGATACGATACGAGAAAATTTTTGGACGAATTTTGATTCCCTTGAAAAATCAACTTACCCTATTTCTCGATCGTGTCAACTTGTCTTCTTGATCGTAATCATTGTGCATAGTCCGGGAACCGCGCTATTGCACAGCACGTTCGATCGAATTTTTTGGTTCCTCTGTCGTATCCTCTCGATACTCGCAATCCGAGACATTTCTCGGCGGTTCGAATTGAAATTCTAGTCGAGCGCGAATCGATCTTTGCCCAATACTAGGTGTTCTTTGTAGGCGACCGTGTCTCCCCCCCTTCTCTCCCTTTCCCCTCTCTGCATTTCCAAGTTACTACAACTTAGGCACTTGCCACTCGACTTGGAACATTTTGGAACAAACGTTCCGATATTTCTCCACCAGAAATAACATCATATTCCTCTTTGACCGATCTCTTCGAAATTTATGTAACGTATCCTTCAATCATTTTTCCGTTTCAATGTAAATACGTGAAACGATCGTTTACTCGTTAACCATTAATTGGTCCTTGCTTCGTTTGTAAAAGAGAGTCATCAGTCGCTATTACTCTCAAATTGGAGAGATCGTTCGATAGAGGCGCGATTAAAACGACATCGATGCGTTTTTGTACGAATAGCAGGTTAATCGTACACGCCATTTCCATACTTCCATTGTTTTCTAAACGTTCAATTACTTACAACACTTTATTATATCGTGCGTTTTATTTGTTTTTAAAGTGACTATTTTTATAATTTTGGTCTTTGCAATCAGTCTCAGTTGTTAATTACAATAATAATTTCCTCAAGTATGTTATTTCAACGTGAGAAAAAGATTTCAAGAAGTCAAAGAAACTCGAGAGAAACGAGTGCATGGTTGAAGACTTTCATAAATAATCGTAAATGCGTATACAGGTACAGAATGAAGTCTTTTCGTTCCATCAGAGACGTTGTTCTCTTATTATTAATCCTTATTCACCAGGACATATTGTTTTTCATACCTTTTCCTTTAGCTTTTCATTTAATTAACCGGTCGACAATGATACACACGCATACGTCTTGAGCAAAAGGAAGAAGAAGAGTATTTTCTGTCACGCGTAAGTGGGCAAATTTACAATTTTTCTTAGGTAATTTCTCAGCCTAGCAATGGCACGGTACTTCTCACCTTGTCGTGAACGTGTTATTCCCGCTTAGTCAGCCACTTTGTCAATCTTGTGTCCAATTCCCCCCTTCCTCTTATCTATCCGCTTGTCCATCCATTATCTATCTTCATGGATCATCCTCTGTGATCGTTAAATCGTTCTTACGTGCAAGCTTCTACTGTCTACCCCGGAGAATCGGAAAAAAAGCGGGGGTAGAGTTGGCAGAGGCGAGTATCGATCTCATTCTCTCTCCTGGTTCGGTATTCCGGATAATTTATCGTTGCTGAGTTTTACGGGGCCCCCCTTCTGCTCTGTTGCCAGTGGTAGGACAACGGAGAATCAATCCTGTCCCGTCCTTTTTAAATAGCAATGGCCCATCACTGTCCTGAACCCTCTCTTAGTCGTGACATTGACTTTAAAAAAAGAAAAAGGAAAAGGAAAAGATCAAGGAAATTGGATATTTCGCGCAATTTCTCTTGCAAATTAAATTTTACATCGGCGATCGATGAGGATTTTCTGTTTTTCTTTTTTTTTTTTTTTAAATTATTGGACGGATAATTTTTCGACTCAATTTTTCGATTCAATGATAAATTATTATCACAAGCAAATTTCGTTAATTCTGTGGATTGGATTGATATATATATCGAAATAACCGGATTGAAAAATCTATTTCGAGCTTTTTGGCTTTTTAACTTTTTTTTTTCGGTGTAATAATAAAATGAATAATATAAACGGGTTTTTTCATCGTAAAAAATATATATGAGCGGAACGATTTATTTTTATCTCTCCGTTGATGCGAAATAACTGTTTTTGAAAAATTTATTATTTTAAAAATCCCCTACCCCCCCGCCCCTCTTGCCTCTTTCATAGTGAAACTCGTGTAATGATAAAATAACGGAAATATTTTTATTACATATTGATTTAGTGAACATCGGCAAAGTTTGATTTAACGCAATAAAAAAAAAAAAAATCGAACGAGATAATACAAATAACAATATCCTGGAATCATCAAATATCGTATATAAGTTATATCAATTCGCTTATATACATATCACGAAATAAATAGAAATCGGTATTCGTTGATAAAAAAAATTTATCCTCATCGCGTAACAATTTTTTTTTTCCTTTTTTCCAAACCAATTACCTTATCCCCTCTCGTATCGTAATATTTACCAATACGATTTACGATTAAATCGTTCGTTTCCAGAGGGGAAATTCGAAAATCGACGCGAGGAGAGGGAGTCGTATTTATCCTGTTTCAGCAACACTCATCGCGTACAAATTATAAAAAAAAAAAAAAAAAAAAATAGAAAAAAAAACGCCAAGAGATCTATATAGAAAAGCGACAACTTCCCTTTTCGATACCTTCTTCCGTTAGAGAAGCGGGAGGAAAATTGCACACGACGACCCCTTAAAGTTGATGAAGCGTTGTATCCCTCAGAACCTTGGAAGAAAATTGCTTCGTAACGGGCCGATTCCACGTGCGTCTATGCCGTGAATAATGCGGCATGAATCTTAATCACGCTCTCATTGTAGGTGAACTCGCGTAAAATACAAATTTCCCTCGCCCTCCTTTATGCACTATCGCGTATATACGCGTGTGTATATGTGCGTGGATCGAACAAGGAGCCGGTGACGGAGGAGAAATGCTCGGTTCTTGGCGCACTCGACACTTTGCAACATTAAAATGGAGAAATTAGAAGGGAGGGAGGAGGGAGGGAGTTGCGTTTTCCTTGGACGCGTGTCCTCACTTTCATCAAGGCCGCCCTCTCTTCTTGCCGTTGCTCGTTGCGCGACGAACTCGCGCGTCAAACGGGACCAGCTTTTGTCCCTCTTTCTCTCTCTCTCTCTCTCTCTCTCTCTCTCTCTCGAGAACGAAATACCGTTTCCCAGTTTCCGGCCTTTTGCGAGAGTGACCTCAGCCCTGAGGCTTGCACACGGTGTACCTCGATCATTTATTAACGAGCGCGTATACCTCGAGAGAAAGACGGATGGGGGAAGGAGGACGCGTGTATCGAGTTTACGGATGGTGAAACGTACCGTGTCGACACCGTGCGACGCTTGAATATAAAATAGCGTGTTCGACGTAGCCACGCGCACGCGCATTGCTCCCGATAAATAATTGATGCTTGATACTCGACGCCACGGTTCACGCGCCACAGTCTACCATTAGGATGGCGAACGAGAGAGGATACGTTCGACGAGAGATTCCTCCACGGGAAAATTACTTAGATAGTCTTGGGAGAGCCTTCTCACAGGGGAAGAGACGTTACGTGATGAGCCAAGTATCCACGAATGGGATAAATGGTTTCTTTCCTTTTGCTTCTTATTAGGGAATAAAAATTGTTGAAATGATTTGGTCGAAAGTAACAGCGAGAAAGAATATATTTAACGAAGGAAATAGGAATAAACTGTATAGATGTGGGTCGTGTCGATATCTTCTATCGTGCCGAGCTCTCTATGTCGCATCGGTTCAAAGACAAGGAAACAGAATCGAAAGACGGCGATCGCGTCCAATCACACGCTCAATTCACGTATAAACGTACAAGATATGAGTCGCACTTTTATATATATAAACTCAACTTTTATTCTTTTACAAAGAAATTGTACTTCTCACGGCGAATATCACCGTTCACGATCAATCAATTTATATGTACAGATGTCGATGGCCTTAGGAGGATCGATTTTAGAAAACAAATGAAAATTGTAAAACGCTTTGATTGTAGAGTCGAGTGGTTAGAGAAAGGTGCACAAGGGACAATAAAGGTTGATTCGTCAGTAGCTTCGCAATCCCCGCATTGTACGCGAGTGTGGAAGTCTCGACAAGCGAAAGAAGGAGTCTATTATATTTTGGGAAACGTGTACGACGTTCGCTCGAAAGCACAATAATGGATCGTGGCGTGGAAATCTGCCTTGCTTGGGTGTTTATCGATGCGCCCGATTCCAACAATGAAACGCCACGCTTGTGGTACGATACGCACACTTCCTTGGTGTTCATCGGCCCATACGTAATACCCGTATACAATCCCAGAAGCTTTTGCATACACGAACGAGGAGAGGAGTGGGGAGTCCACTCGTACACGCGAGCCCCACCTCCCTTGTATACATTCAGAACGTATACATTCGCTTGTATACATATGTGTACTCACTATTCCGGGGCCGGAGAATCTACAAGGCAGCATAGCGTTGCCGCCGGACTGCGCCAGGACATCCTTGACAGATGCAGCTACCGAAGAAAGGACGTTATTTTTATTCTCCTCGTTGGCCGGCTTCTCGCTGCGAACAGCACCATCTGGAAACATCGGAGAATACTGCTTTGAGAAATACGCGCCTCGGTTGGTTCGGTAAGTCTCGCTTCGTGTCGGAGATACGCGCGTGGGAAATTAACGTAACGACATCGTCGTCGTACTTGTGTCAATTCGTGTTCGTGCCACGTGCAATAACGCCGAGTAATAACGAGGGGAAAAGTTTCTCGAAAAAATTGTCTCGAGCGTTTCTTCCTTTCGTACTAATAATAAATCGTTGCTTTGGTGTTCGCGTTTCTGTTTCGCGAAATATCAAAGGAAGTGGAGAAAAGAAAATAGAAATGTTCCACGCGTTAAACGTTTCAGAGTTTGCTGCTCGTTGTCGTTAGGAATAAGCGAAACAGTGGCGAGGAGCGAGAAGTTGAGGTTAAGATTCAAAATTTACGCTCTCGGCAAATCTGAGAACAATCTTTTTTTCCCTTCGTTGACCGACGGCGGTTAACGAACATTCTTCTAACAGAAATGAATTTCGAAGGAACGATATTTCGTAAGTAACGGCATATTGGGAAAGTTTTGCGCAAGTTCGAAAACTTTCCACCACGGATATATTTGTCTTTTCCTTCTGCTCGAAACTCGAGTCGTTAAGCTTTTATCTTCCTGCCTTGTGTTGTTGTTGTTGTTTTTTTTTCTATACATTTTTATACCGTTCCATCCGAAACACGACGCCCTCTCGATTCTCGCTGCCACGTTTTTTTCTCCCCTCCACCATCGGTTTAAGAACAACGACGTCGTTCCAGTGTATAGCCGCAAGAGTTTACTCGGTCGCACGAGTTCCCCCAAATGCTATTTTCCGGTGGACCGAAAGTCCTAGCTATCGAATAACGTACGTGTAACGACTTGGAGCCAAGCCGAAAAAACTCAAGGAGATTGCATTACTACGGAAAAATATCGTGCGGCGTTCGCGGAAATCATTACGAGAGTCATTGTACCGGATGCTGATTGAACGAGCCAGAAAGTTGTGCCAACCTAGAGGTCAGTTGCAATCTCTTCGTTTATCGTTCAATTATTTCGTATATACTCCCGTCTTGTGACGGGAATATACGCGTCATAGAGTTTTTATGGTTGATGCGTATAGTGCCGCAGGCGGATTTTAAATTTTGCTCGATAAAGAAGAAGTTTTGGAATGTTTTTACCAACGCATCATTATTCAGATTCGCTTGTTACGCGAAATATTATTCTTGCTCTTCCCTCGAGTAACTATCGGATCGTATGAAATTGCAGTTTTTTCTTGCTCGGAAGAAAAACGATATATTTTCGAAACCATAATCTTTATTCGATCAAAATACCAGCCATTAGCTTTAATGACCTTTTCCCAACGAGATTCTCAACCGATATATTCCATTTTTATAAAACATTATGGTTTTAATACTTAAAACAAATGGTTTTAATAATTTAATAAAGAAATTCTTTAAATGTTTACAGTTTCTCGAGTGTCGAGTATTTTATTTTTTTAAAACCAATATAAAAGTGAAACAAGTGATAATCGATTGGAAGAAATATCTGGTGAGTAAGATGGATCTATGCAGAAGAATAAATCCACGTCTATCGCGGATTATTTCTTGCCAATAGAATGCTAACTTTGCCATAACTTTTTTTCAGTCGTAACGATGGTTTCCATTTGTTTAGGATTTTCATTAGCATCCAATCATTGTCCAGATGGCGTACAACATTCTATACTATCCGTTTCTCATTACAGGTTATAATTCTGTTCTAAAAATGGACTTGTACCATTTCGAGCTTTACGCGATGAGCATCATTTCCATCACTTTACCCATTGCGCTCAAATATCTGAAAACTATCATTGGATGCTTCGTGAATTAGCTTCCATTTTGGCTTTCGATTTATCTTTGTTTAATATGGATTTCGATGCTTCCAGATTGAATTTTCGAGACCACCATCGAATAATTCTCTCATCGATAGGATCTTCTTCGAAAGCTAACCTCATATTTTGATATGTTTCAGCTGCACTGTGGCCCAGTTTAAACTCATAAAGGAAATAACATTCTAAATTCGGTAATACCATAGTTAACCTAATGCAAAAAAGAATTTATTACACAAACGTAAAAGAACAATAATATATATATATATATATGGTAAACAAAATATAGGTTAAGCAGAGTTTACAAGTTTTATTCCAAGATTGCCAACTTCATGTGGTACAACTTAAATACTTTGGTTGCGTTTTATGCTGTAATAATTTTGAAGGAAAGGAGTAGAAAGTTTGAAACGAGATGGTAACTAGGAGGAAAACTGAAGGAAAATTTTGTTTCACGAATTATTTCTCGTCAAAAGAATCCACCATCGATCCTTCGAACGTGCTTGCAACATCTCCCCTCGTACTACGAATGGACACCACCAAGGACGAATTTTCGAAAAGTATGGCTGGAGAATTTCGTTCGTCGATATATATATATATTTGGAAACTTGGTCTCGGCTCGAGTTTTGGAACTCGTATCGACCTATATACACCGCGATATCAAAAGTTGTCGTACCTTTCCCGGTCAAACGTAATTCGAGACGTTGACTCGAGGGGGTAGCGCAACTGGGTCGATGGTAATTACCGAAGTTATTCACTCAGGACGGAAACGATGCTTGCGGCCAGAAAATTTAAGATTCGCTCTACGTACGCCGAGGATGAGGGGATATTCCCTTCTCCTTTTTCTTCTTCTTCTTCTTCTCTTCCGTCTGGTCATCCGCCTACCATTCCATCCTGGTCGGCGAGCTTCTCAAATTGCATTACCTATTAGAGCGAATGCCTTGAACTTGTGCCTGTTGGTGTCTGCTAATTTGCAAAGAGAAAGAGAGAGAGAGTGTAACCTCGGCTTATCTGCTGCTGCAACGTTCGCAAAAGGTCCACTACTCCTCTTACTATCCTCCCTGCCTCTTGATTAAAGCGACGATTTTTTGACTCCAAGAAGATGGAATTACGGCGTACCCTCTCTTTACAACGCGAAGCGAGAGAAGGAAGGAAGGAAGGAAGGAAGGAAGGAATCTGGAACGACGGAAGTTTCGTGTCTTGAGTGTCTTCCAACCGAGTCGCGTTTGAATAGGGGAAGAAGAATGGAATAATGGATTAGTGAAATTTGATTGTGTCGTTCGATGGAACGATCAATATGGAAATGAATGATATCTTAATAGATCGAAATTCGAGTTTATTTTAGGAAGAGAGTTAGATAGAGGAAAAGAGAGAGAGAGAGAGAGAGAACTATTATTATCCGACACAAGTACACATACACAGTGTATCTAGAATTAAGGGAACTATCCTTTAAATTATTCCGTACATGCCGCGACATGGTTATTCGGGGAAGGTAATTTCTTTACGTCACACACAACGAGCATAGCGGAGCTCGTTTTATATCTTTTGCGAGTAAACGGATAGACGACAAACAAAAGAGGATTCTGCTTCTGTTTTAGAGCTATATGTCTTTTTTTTTTTTATCGTATCGCTGTAATCCGATCGAACTATTTTTTCTTTAAATTTTACCATTCCTTTCGTTTCAATTCGTCGAGTATCGATTGTATTTTCACGGATACGTGAATATATGAAATGAAAAGAATCAAGCTTATTCTAAAATATTTCTAATCACGATATTCGGACGATTGATAAATTGATGCACAAGAGGAGAGAAGAAATTAGTTTAAGCGAGAATATCCTTAAAGATATCGTTCTTTGGGATTGTTTTGGACAAGGCGATGCGTAATTTATTTCGTATAAACGTTTCGAGAAAGATATTTGTCTGATTATTCCTTTTATGTGCGAATCAAAATCTCTTTGAGCAGATGGATTTTCGTTTAATCGTTACCCATCGTACAGAGCTTAAAGGGTTTCGATCATGAAGATTTAGGGGAAGTTTTCGTGCGAAAGTCGAACCGTGCGTTCGAATCGATCGATTAAATGTGAAAACAAATGTAATACAATTGCGCGTAAACTTACATCCGTTTTCCTCGAATTATGATACATTGTTGAACGTTTGTTGCTGCGATCTCTTTTTTTTTTAACTTGCTTCGAATATCGGTTCGATTTCGTTTCATTCGACGATTTATCGATCCCGATATCTTTATCACGATTCAACGATTGATTTTACGATTGAATTGAGGAAGGAAAGCGATGTGATACAACAATTTGAATTAGGGGATAAATTTTAAATTGAAAAATTGGAAGAGAATTTTAGGAATATAACGAAAATCGAGTCATTGTTGTACGATGGAGAGGAGAGATCTTCGACCTCGACACTAGAAAGTAGCCAATAACGATGCAAACAAGTTTTCCTCTGGACCTAAGGAGCTAAGGAAATAAAAAATTACTTCTTTTCGATAAGGGATAGGAGCAGTTTACCTTTTATGGCGTCAATTTTTCCCCAGAAATTTCGTATACCCTTTTTTTTTTTTTTTTTTTTTTTTAACGATCCAAATACATCTTCTACCATTCGCGTAAACGTCTCTTTTGCCGAAGCAAATTTTATCATCAAAGGATCGTATAAATTTTTCCTTTACGATTTCTTTTTTTTTTTTTTCTTCTTTTTTCTTCTTCTTTTTGCCTCGATCGTACACTCGAATCGGTCCGCGCAAAGAAACGAGGAGGAAAAAAATTATCCTTTCATTTCGGCATATTTCATCTTATCAAAGGAAATTCTTGGTCGTCGAAGAGCAAAGAATCGGTCACTTCGTCATAGGGAACATTTCTCAAGGAAGGAATGATATTCGTTCTTCTTTGCTAACCCACTTATCTCTCTCTCTCTCTCTCTCTCTCTCGTAAGAAAATTTTTCTTTAATAGAAGCGACTGTGATTCTTTGTTTTTGCCTCGCCAAGTGGATGAGAAGATTGACAAAGAGGGAGGGAAGGGGGAGGGGCAATGCGAATAAGAGATATTCAATTTAATCTTCGGATGTAAAAATTTGCTCACGATCAACGCATCCTTCTATTCGAACTGTCCTCAACAAACTTTCTTCATACTTTTCCTTTAATTTTCCCTACGATTTATTTACCCACACGCTTTCTAAAAGTGAATTTCATATATCTAACCCTATGTCACTATCAACGACCGAGACGCGCCTCGAACGAGATCGATCTTTGTCGGATATCTCTCGAGGAATATCGTAGTCTTTTTTAGAATAAAAGCTTCTCTCCGTGATTAGAATTACAAAGAAGAAGAATTGTTATTAAGATTTATCTCCACGTTAAAGAAAAAAATTCGCACGAGACGGTTCGATTTTTCTTTTCACCCTCCATCGTTTCACGGATTTTTCGATCCGAATCGAAAGCGGGGAGGAGGGGGAAAAAAATTGGCTCGTTCGCGTGCAAAAGAAACGAACGGGTCGTGGATTTTCGCGTGTTTTCGAGGGCTTTGTTACTTTATTATTCGTTGACGGCTAGTCGAGGCCCTTTCTCTCCCTCCCCCTCCCTTTCACTTTTATGTTTTACGGCCAAGCCGTTCCGCGAGCACCGCAAAAACCACTTTCCCACCTCGGTTAACGCCGTCGTGCTCGAGAGAAATCATTTTGCGAGATTTATCTACGTCGTTACGATAAAACGAGCCCCCCCCCGCCCCCCTCTCCCCCCTACCTCTTCGACTTGGAAGTAACTCGTCCCGGCTACACAAGCGATAGACATGTTTTATCTTCGTTAAAGTGGATATCCTGTCCAGCGTGTTTCATCGTCGACGTTCAGTTAGGAAAATCATCGAGATATAACCGAAATATAAGAAGCGATAATAGTCACGATTTTCATGTGTAATTATACTCCACTTACTTTTCGAATGATCGTTCGGATCGTTCTCTGTGCTTTTAACTAAAAGTGTGTGTTTTTTTCTTTATGGATGGATGAGTGGAGGATAGGAATAAAATGTTGAAAAATTCAACGGATCCATTGAAACGAAGAAGAAGACGCACGTACACACGTTCAAATACTACTCATTTTTGCTTCTTTTCAATGCGCGGAGAATTCAATGTACGGAGAGAGAGAGAGATGGAGAGAGAGAGAGAGAGAGAGAGAGAGAGAGAGAGAGAGAGAGAAGAGACGTTTAAAAAATTCAAAGTTTCGCGAGGCGAAAGAGATAGACGCGTGTATATGACGAGAAAAAAACACGTGGAAGAAAAAAAAAGATGAGAAATAGCGTTGGAGGAACAAGGATGGAGAGACGGGGAATCTGTGGAGAGCTAGGCTATCGGTCTACTCTATCTAGGGACCCTAGGTTCATCGTGAATACGAATGAGTTGCAGGTCGATCGGGCACTAATTGAGAAAGTTGGCCGCCGCTAGTGTGTTTCCGTGGGATGAAGGTAGCCGACCACCAACCTTTGGTGGTTAAGTTTCTTCCCCTTCTCCTTCTCCTTCTTCTTCTTCTTCTTCTTTTTCTTCGTGATCGAGTTCTCTTAGATGGTTTACGTTGGAAGATTTGGAAAAAAATTTTCTTTTTCCTCTCACGAATTATCGCGATTGTGTCGTGAAGAGATGATAAGAGATGATAAAACGGAGGATAAAATGGAGTTTCACATTGGAATTTATTATGTGAACGAATTGACTTACCGATCGGATGTAGAAAGTAGCGCGACGATGCCAGCAGCACAAGGAACAATTGAACCGCGTCCATGGTGATCCCGGTTCATACGTGTATCGTGCATTTATCCACGAGCTCGCCTGTAATAGAAAAATGTAAATAATTTTATGAAAAATGTAGCGATATTTTCGAGTAATCTTGTTGTCGAACTTGTTCGTTGTGTTACCGCCTATAATAAAAAAAAAAAAAGAAAAAAAGAAATGTGCATGATGTATGTTGCAGATACGTGTAACGACGTCTGTATGAACGTTTTCAATTATTCAATCGGAATGAAAACGTTGAATGGATGAATATAAATTGTAATTACATTTCTTACGTTTCGATAAATGGATATTAATTTTTTTCAAAAATTATTAATAATTTGGTAAGAAGAGAAGATTATATCGCAAAAAAAAAAAGATCTATGATAGAAATAAATTAATAAACCTGTGTAAACAGAGACAATGGAACAGACTGTTGGAGATTAGAAGGTCTTTAGAAACGAATGGACGACTATTGTGTCCCTCTGACGGCGAGGACCAAGAATACATTTGCCATTAAAGCCGCCATTTTGATAAACCTAAATAAAATTCCAATCTAGTAAAATCGAAGAGATAATTATTTTATAATTACGATATAAAATAATTTCAATTAATCAAACTTGTTAAATTGTGTTCTTCAAAATTTTTCCAATATAAATCCAGAAGGATTAATCAATAAATCAAGAAAGAATCAACGGACGCTAGCTTGCACGAATATAAAAGTATGATATATGGAACGCGGATGTTTCCCGCCTGTTATTCTAATTATGTCCATCTGTATGTACGTATTATTCCGCACGTATATCGCAAAGTCTTATCACGAGAGGGAGAGCATGTGTACATCGTTAATACCGATCGATGACCGCGACTCGCGTACATCTACTCGGTACATGCATTTATCCTAGTTGGAGCCTATAGAGAGGCAGAAGCTCGTTGGTTTGGAAAATGTGTGTCCAGGATTTCACGGCGATGTATCGAGTATCTCGAATAATCCAGGTGGAGGGCCAGAGGAGAATACTCCTCGTGTACAGATTTGACCAAGCCTAGACACGAACCATCACCATCGGCTAAACACCGACTGGTCGACCGATCACTCCCCCTCCTCCCTCTCTCCATTGTTAATCGTATACCGATAAGACTTTGTTTTCCTGTCTCCTGTCGGTTTTTTCGATTCGCGGCTCGTGTAAAGTCGAAATATTTCATTTGAGAGAAAGTAAAATATTAATGCTAAAAGGTATAACAGAGATTAGAGAATTATAACGCGTTGGTGCAATTTTTATCAAAAATGTTTGAGGTGTAAATAGTTAAACGTGCGGTGAGATTACTTTCTGTGAAAATGAGTTATTATAGTCGTGATACCTTAAAATTTTGTTTCTTAAGCGAGTTAAAGTGAGTTAAGGGTAGATTAAAATAGGGTTCGAAGCGGGTTAAAAAAACAAATAAGTCAATGGGGAGTAAATTAAAATTCATTAACGTAAAATACACTTGGCTAAATCTTATTATTTTCAAATTGCCAAACTTTCTTATTTCCTATTTCTCTCTCTCTCTCTCTCTCTTAAAAACTTTCACTTTGTTATTACACACATCATCCTCTCAATTTTCATCTCGCGGATAAAACTACTGTACTGCACGAAGAGAAAACGCATCAGCGTCCGATTCTCTCTAATTCACTACGGCAAAAGTAGCAATTAAGCGACTCGAAATATAATTGCGAGTTAACGAATTCGTAATCGCGTTCCAACACGAATCAATAACGAAAACAAACGGGGAAATAAAATTGTAAATTGGTCTGCGCGTTTCATACGAGATACATCTGATTAATTCACGGATGGGATCCCCCCCCTCCCCTCCCCTTATATGAATATTTATGCACACCGGATACATTAACGGGACGCGATGTTGTTTTCGCGTATTCCCCTCCCCCTCCCTCCCCACCTTCTCGTAATTAAAATGTTTCACACACACGGGGGAGGGGGAGGAGGCAGAACGGCTGTCGAAACGAGCACCGGATTATATATACCATCCGGGAATGGATGGTTTCCCGACGATTAAGAGTTCATTATCGGGCCATTTCGATCGCCTCTCGATCCCCCTTTCCCCATCTCGTCGCGTTTTAAAAACGAAAAGTTTTAAGTTTTCTCTCTTCCCCTCCTCCTCTAGTTCTTCGAATTAGAGGTGGATTAGAGTTTTCGAGGGAAAACCGGCGTGGCCGGCCAGTCGGTTTAAAACGAGTTGCCTCGTAATTTCGCCACTTAATTAGACGCCGCTTTAACTTGGATACGGCCAACGTTGGATACGGTTGCACGCGGCACACGGTCGCGATGAAAGCAACCGGTTGGTGGTGTTTGCGGGTATATAAATAGAGGTGGCGAGAGGGGAGGAGGAGGAGGAGGAGGAGGAGGAGGAGGAGGAGGAGGTTGTTGGATCTCTGGTTTATCTCGGCGCTTAGCATTTAAATAAGCTTCCACCTAAGTTGGGAATAAGTTTCGTATACGCGAAACGGGTGTGTATATCAATGTCCGATTTTAAACGATAGGAACGCCAGTTTCTAGAATATGGAATTTCTAATTCAAATTGTGGCGAATTCTCGTGTCGAATCCGAGTCGTGGATAACCGTGATTTTCCATTTCAAGTTATTTGGGGGGTGTATTCGGTACGCTTATCTTCGTTGCAGCGGGGGGCCAAAAATGAAAAGTATCATTCTAAATTCGAATGAAACGTTTATTTCGGTTATCGGAAGGTTCGACCCGATGTTGAATTTATCCTGGATTCATCCTTATCTCGAGCTCTACGAGGGATTTACGAGGACTTTTTCGTGTCCTTTTTCGCGCGAAAGGGAAGGAAGTCCTTTGTTACGAATGTTTGCCCGACCCCGTGGAAAAATGTAGTGCGACCCTTTCCAAATTTATTATCGATTTGTTATCGAGGAAGGAAAATATCGTTGTTTAAATACGGTATAAATTTTATAACGATATAATATCGAACAATTTATCATAAATTGGACTTGTGACTCGAACGTGGCAGAGAGGAATGTTAATTATTCGAAGAGAATTATATAGTGTTTAGTAGAGAATATGAAAAAAGATAGATTATGTATCGCTTTCTATCTCGGTCGTATGTATTTAAATTTTATCGAACGCCGCCCCTTCGATTTGAAAATTGAAGGGGAACGTGGTTTGAGGCGAGCGTGGTTTCTTTGAACGGTGGAGCCCAATTCGGGGGGTGGAGTTTTATGGCGAGCTTGAGAGAAGCAAGGGAGGCGAGAGAGAAATTAGTGTCAACGTAGAAAGTGGAATCTCGAGAGGAGGAAATATTAAATGTGGACACTTTCATCTCGGATCACGTAGTTTTCTTTCTTGAATTTGTGGTTTTTTTCATTGGAAAGAGAGAGCTTGTAGTAGGGGATCGATGAAACGTGCCGTCGCCTCCTCGAGAAGAACTTCTCCAATGCAAAGAAAGAAGGAGGCAAAAGGAAGGAAACCGAAGCGATTGTAGGTTGAAATTAGCATTCTTCGTCACGCGATTGTCGAGCTATTTAATTGATTCATCGTGGGTACTCTTCATTTCCACGCCTAACATTTTTCCATTATGTTTCATTGGAGAAATTAACCCTTTCGAATTCCCCTCGTTTGAATAATTATCGTATCCATAAACGGCATCTTGCCGTTGATTGCCGTTTCAATTGTCCGCGTTCACGCGACTCTATTTATATACGAATTTTTCCAATGCAAGGAAAGAATGAGGCGAAACGAAGAAAGTTGGAGTGATGGCAGGTTGAAATTAATATTTTAATTGACTCATTGTGATTACTCTTCACGCGTATTTCCACTCTTAATAATTTTTATGTTTCATGGGAGAAAATTAATCGTATCGACAATTAGATTCTCTCCTTTGATCATTTGAGAAATTAAATGCCTGAATAATTATTGTGTCTATAAATAGCATCTTTTCGATGATTGGTATTTCAATTATCCATCTCCGCGACTTCATATAGTTTATACGAAATATTTTTCCAATGCAAGGAAAGAATGAGACGAAACGAAGAAAGTTGAAGTGATTGAAATTAGTATTTAATTAACTCATTGTGATTACTCTTCACGCGTATTTCCACTCTTAATAATTTTTATATTTATGGGAGGAAATTAATCGTATCGACAATTCGATTCCCTCCTTTGATCATCATTCGAGAAATTAATAATTCCCTTCGTTTGAATAATTATTGTATTTATAAATAGCATTTTTGATGATTAGATTTAATTGTCCGTCCACGCAAATGGTTATAGTTTATACGAATTTTTCTAATGCAAAAAAAAAAAAAAAAAAAGAATGAGGTAAAAAGAAGAAAACTGGTTGTAGATTGAAATTAGTATTTTTAATTGATTTATTTTGGTTATTCTTCTTCATTAATAAAATTAATCATTATCGACAAATAGATTCTCTCCTTTGATTATTTGACATCATTTGACTAATATTTTTACATAATTTTTATATTTCATCGAAGAAAATTAATCGTGTCGATTCCCTCGTTTGATCATCATTCGAGAAATTAACCCTCGTCTGAATAATTATCGTATCCATCTTGGCGATAATTGGCGTTTTAATCCACACGAGAGACGTATAATTTATACGAATTTTAATGCAAAAAAAAAAAAAAATGAAATATTAAAAATAGTATCGAAAATTAATTCTCTCATTTGATCATTATTCGAAAAATTAACCCTCGTCTAAATAATTATCGTATCTTATTATCATCGTATCGCATTTTAATTGTTTCTCCATATAATTTATACGAATTTTAATGTAAAAAAAAAAACTGAAGTATTAAAAACGGTTGAAGAACATTTTTAATTGACTCAATGCGGTTATTTAAGTATAGTTTTATATAATTTTATAATTTTATATTTATATAATTTTATATTTAAGTATAGTTCCCCGCCTAATATTTTAACATATCTTTTATGTTCCATCGAAGAAGATTAATCGAAAATTAATTCGACTCCCTCGTTTGATCATTATTCCAGAAATTAACCCTCGTCTGAATAATTATCATAAATATATAA